ACCGCTGCGTCTCTCAGTATAACGGCCACCACGCGGATGCGGGAATCAACGGCGCTGCCGTCCTGTGTGGGAGCCGCATAGGCGGCGGGCTGTATTTCCTCCGGCTTCTGTAGCAGCTCCTTGGCATCTGCGAGACGCTGTTGCAACTGCTTCAAGGACGCTTCACAGCGCTCCTTTTCCTTCGGAGTAGTGGCCTTCTGTAACTTCGCCTCGGCGGACGCAATCGCCTCCGTCATGTTCTTAACAAAAACCTTGACACTGCCACCACGCGGCTTACTGTTTGTCAGCATGACCTTGGACTGGGCATTGAGGGCCTCCGTGGCTTTCTCATCAAGGGTTGCATAGCTGACAAGCACCGCTGAAGAGCAGGACCCAATGAAAGCATGGCCAAAAAGTTGGCGCACGTACTCTGGATTCTTTTCCATAACTCCGACATAGGGCCGCATGTCGAGCGCACTCATCGCAAACAGAGATGCAACCTTTACATCCCCCTCAAAAATTTGCTTCAATACCGCTGTGCACACAATGTATTCATCGTCCTTCACCAGCTCCGCAGCCCTCGTAAGCGCAGAACGGAGAACGGGTTCCACATCGGCCGCGGTCTTCACCACCTTTGGTGTCATTTCGTGCAGAACCACACCATATAGCGAAGAGCTCGCAACAACAAGCGGCCTTGCCTCAGCCTTGCCAAACAGGTCGGACACAACCTGTTTTCCCTTCACAACGCTCATGTAAAGCGTAAACTCATTGGCGAGACCATTCCTTGTCTCCTTCAAAACACCCTCGAGGATGCTCTGCACAATGCTCCATGTAATTTGTTTCTCTACCGCCAACCCAGGGATTACCTCCGCAGCCAAAAGCGCTATGTTATTACCATCCCCCAAAATTTTTTGCATTCTTTTGGCCACCTTCGATTCAATTGGCATCCCCTCAAAACAATTAATGTGCTCATCAACGGTGCACTTTTTTAATTCCCCCTTCACAGACAAATCGATGGTATTGCTTACAGGCTGCTTTCCTACTGTTACTGCAATCCTCACGGAGTTCTGCCACGGTTCAGCCTCGCCCCCAGCAGGATCACTGCTCTCCAACGCCTTCGATTTGGAGGTTGCAGCCGTACTCGCGCTTTCCGGCTTCGGCTTCGCCTCATCAGTGACGCTTTCCCGCAAAGGAAGAAGGGAATTGTTAACTTCTGGCTTTGCGTCTTCCGGCTTCGTCTCTTCCGGCTTTGTCTCTTTCGGCGGTTCTTCCGGCTTCGTGTCTTTCGGCTTCGCGCCTTCCGGCTTATTCTCTTTCGGCTTCGCGCCTTCCGGCTTCTTTTCTTCTGGCTTTGCGACTTCCAACTTCGTCGCTTCCGGCTTCGTGTCTTCCGGCTTCTTCCCTTCCGGCTTCTTTTCTTCTGGCTTTGCGACTTCCAACTTCTTCTCTTCCGGCTTCGTGTCTTCTGGCTTCTTTTCTTCTGGCTTTGCGACTTCCAACTTCTTCTCTTCCGGCTTCGCGACTTCCAACTTCGTCTCTTCCGGCTTCGCGCCTTCCGGCTTATTCTCTTCCGGCTTCGCGCCTTCTGGCTTCTTTTCTTCTGGCTTTGCGACTTCCAACTTCGTCTCTTCCGGCTTCGTGTCTTCTGGCTTCTGCTTCGCCCCATCAATGGCGTTTTCCCGCGAAACTCGAGAGGAAGTGTAGACCTTTGGCTTCACAGCTTCCGGCATGGCCATCATTTCCTTTGCGTCATCCAGTACTATCACCATCTTTCGCATTAGCCGTCCATACCGTGCCTTTTCCGCAGCATCTTTTGATGACTCCGCCATAGACCTGCACCTTCTCTCCTCCTCCTGCGTGAACTCCAAGAAGCGGGCGAGATTGCCGCTGCGCGGGGGGAAATTCTTCACCTTCCGCAGTTTCTCAACGTTCTTGAGAATACTCGTCTCCCCCGTGGCATCACCCCCGGACACGGCAGCAACAACCAGCGAGTAGCTGTTGCCTCCCACTGCGTCCCTGAAGAGGGGAACGGGCACAACTTTCTCATCCTTTTCGTGGAGGGCCGCAAGGCAGTCAGATCGCCCCCGGAGGAACGCGACCTGCAGCGCCGAGAGAAACACATCGGGGGGCATGCTACCCCGATTCTTGATCTGTTTCACCACCAAATGCATAAAAACAATCTCTTTGGCATCAGTTGACGCCTTTAGCGCGTCTTGCAGAAACTTCTCGGCCTCAATTTCATTCTTCACCGTCCTATCCTGGAGGTCCACGATGCATGCGCCGTACATTGGGTTAAATCCGAGCTGCAATGACTTGGCCTCTTTGGTCGAGGAAGCGAAAAGGTCCTTCATACTATCGACAGATGAAATTGCGGCGGCGGTCATGTATACCTCGTACTTTGTTCCCTTCTCCTCCTCGTTCCTCTTGAGTGTGGCAATGACGGACTTCAATAAGGTCTGCGCGACGTTCAGGCTGACCGATTCCTGCAGCTTACCGTTTGCCAGGATCACGGCACAGTGATGGCTCGCCTCCACCTGGCGCAGGAGCTCCTGTAGCAGCACAGAGCTCCCCACGTTCAAACTGTTGGCTCGCACAACTTCGTCCGCCTCGTACTCCGCAGTATTGCCGTCTGCGTCCTTCATTGGCACCCTCTTCCCAGCCTCCTTGCCCGCAACTGCTGAGGCAGCAGCATCGCTCACAACCAGTAACGCGTGAATATTGTCGTTGAGCTCCGTTGGTGCGGCGGTCCTGGTGGGCTTGGCCTCCCCCTTAGAAACCTCAGGTTCCTTCGGCTTCAAGGCAGCCTTCAACTCGCCTTTGTTCTCAGTGTTGGTATCCTCTTTTGTTCCGTTCTTTACACCAGTGTTTCGAGAAGTCTCTGTACCATTTCTCGTAAAAATTGGCTTGGGGGCTGCGTTAAGGCTATGTGACGGTTTTTGGTCTCGAAGCTCAGTATTCTCCTTTTTCTTTAATTGGTAATCCTCGGGTGGAGCCCAAAACCCGCCAATGCCGTACATACTGCCCATTTCTCCCTTGCCGGGCATGCCGCTCATTTCTTCCTTGCCGTACATACTGCCCATGCCTCCCATACCGTACATACTGCCCATGCCTCCCATACCGTACATACTGCCCATACCTCCCATGCCGTACATACTCCCCATACCTCCCATGCCGTACATACTGCCCATACCTCCCATGCCGTACATACTGCCCATACCTCCCATGCCGTACATACTCCCCATACCTCCCATGCCGTACATACTGCCCATACCGTACGTACCGTACATACTGCCCATGCCTCTTTGTGAGCCGCGCATGGAACCTCTTCTTTGTAAGTCGCGCATGGAACCTCCTCTTTGTAAGCCGTACATACTGCCCATGTCTCTTTGTGAGCCGCGCATGGAACCCATTCTTGGGAGTCTTATATCTCCACCATACATCATTTCAGGGTACCGATTCACAATACCACAATTGCTTCCTCTTTTCGGAGCCACTTTACGAATTACATTGCCACCTGGACCGTGCATAGGCACATTACTGCTCCTCATTCCACTCATGGGTACCGCATCATTACCGCTCATGCCTCCGTAGGGACCCGCACCATTACCGCCCATGCCTCCGTAGGGACCCGCACCTCTGACACCTTCCATTCCCCTCATGGGTACCGCACCATTACTGCCCATGCCTCCGTAGGGACCCGCACCTCTGACACCTTCCATTCCGCTCATGCCTCCGTAGGGACCCGCACCTCTGACACCTTCCATTCCGCTCATGCCTCCGTAGGGACCCGCACCTCTGACACCTTCCATTCCGCTCATGGGTAACGCATCATTACTGCCCATGCCTCCGTAGGGACCCGCACCTCTGACACCCTCCATTCCGCTCATGCCTCCGTAGGGACCCGCACCTCTGACACCTTCCATTCCGCTCATGGGTACCGCACCATTACTGCCCATGCCTCCGTGGGGACCCGCACCTCTGACACCTTCCATTCCGCTCATGGGTACCGCATCATTACTGCCCATGCCTCCGTAGGGACCCGCACCTCTGACACCTTCCATTCCGCTCATGCCTCCGTAGGGACCCGCACCTCTGACACCTTCCATTCCGCTCATGGGTACCGCACCATTACTGCCCATGCCTCCGTAGGGACCCGCACCTCTGACACCTTCCATTCCGCTCATGGGTACCGCACCATTACTGCCCATGCCTCCGTAGGGACCCGCACCTTTGCCACCTTCCATTCCGCTCATGGGTACCGCATCATTACCGCCCATGCCTCCGTAGGGACCCGCACCTCTGACACCTTCCATTCCGCTCATGGGTACCGCACCATTACTGCCCATGCCTCCGTAGGGACCCGCACCTTTGCCACCTTCCATTCCGCTCATGGGTACCGCATCATTACCGCCCATGCCTCCGTAGGGACCCGCACCTTTGCCACCTTCCATTCCGCTCATGGGTACCGCATCATTACCGCCCATGCCTCCGTAGGGACCCGCACCTCTGACACCCTCCATTCCCCTCATGGGTACCGCACCATTACCGCCCATGGTGTTTGGTAAGCCCCTTCTACTTTCCTGCCCTCCATTTGACAAGGAAGAGGGTGCGTGCCATCCAGTGGGGTCTTTTCTGAATCTTGGATCACTGTTGCGACGCATCGCGGCAAAGCCTCTCCTTGCATCACTGTTGTGAAGCATCGCGGCAAAGCTGTTCTTTTTGTATGGGGATGTTTCTGCAGGCGGCAAGACTGGAGAATCTTCACGACTGCCGTTCTCTGGCGCTCGTCCTCTTTTATTGGACGAACCCTTCTTTCCACTTGAGATGAGTTTGATAAGTACCTTGTTTCTCCTGGCAAAATCCCTCCTTTTCAGCAATAAAACACTGGATGACTTCTTCTCACTTCCAGTACGATTGCAGCAATAGGCTAACTTTACTTCTTCGGCAAAGAAGAAGTAGGGATGAAAACAAAACAAACTATAACGGCAGCACGCACACAGCGATTCTGCACACGCAGATCTCAACCTTCAAATCCATGAGGCACAGCACACACGCACATAAAAATAAAACAACAACAAAAACAGCTAGAAAGGCAGCCATCTACCCCTCATTTAAAAAACGCTAAAGAAAAAGTAAATAATAATAATAATAACGCATAAAAAGCCAAACAAACAAACAAACAAAAAAAAGGATACCTGAAGAAGATTCTATGCTTACCCACTGCAACTGAAGAGGGAGGGACATTTTTATACATGAATAAACATGTGTATGTGTGTGTATGTATGTGGTTGGGTGGGTGGGTAGGTAGTTAGGTAGGTTTATTCATTCATTGAGTTACATCATTGGTCATGAAGAACCCGCAAATTGTGTATGCCTCGTTACACAGGCACCGTCTTGAATACAGAGGTGCATTAACTTTGTCCCTCCCACGCACGTTTCCCCTCGTCATCACAACAACCATCCCTCCTCTCCCCCCCCCCAAAAAAAAAAAAAATAAATAAATAAATAAATAAATAAAATAAAATAAAATAAAATAAAATAAAATAAAAATAAAATAAAATAAAATAAATAATAAACATAAATACATACATATACACATATATACCAAACAACAAAAGCAAATAAATAAACATGTATGCGGGCGTCAAACACTGTACATACGATCATTCATTTCTGCAGGGTCAGAGAAAATTCCCCTCCCCATACATACACGTAAACATACGCACAAAAGAGGGGAGGGGAAAGTGAGCGAGAGGGATAACAGACATCAGCGTGGAACAGGCGGCTTAATAAAACAACAAAAACAACAAAAAATAAATAAATAAATAATGAACCACCAGTAAAAAAATCGTTCCCGCAAATTCCACTAGTCACACACGCAATAAAAATAAACACCATCGCTGCAAGGGAGAGAAAAAAAAATATTTAACACGTACATATACATACATATACATACATATATATATGTATGCCAACAAGTAAATAAACGGTCAAAAAAAACCACAAAGAACCAATCAACTTCCTTTCACCTGCCACCTCCACCACCATCTTCTCCGGGTGGGGAAGACCCTCCAACAACACACACACACACACACACGCAGGAAAGGCAAAGATAGAGAGAGAGAGGAAAGGAGGGGAAAAAGGAAAAGAAAAAAAAGGGCGGTGGGGGAGATGCACATAAAAACAAAAACAAATAAAAACAAAAACAAAAAAATAAATAATGGCATTGCCATTCAAATAATCTTCATAATAAAACCACAAATAATCCGGAAATCAATAAACTTCAGGCCACACATATTTCTTTTCTTTTTTTTTCTTTTTTTTTTTTTTTTTGTTGTCCACCTCAGCGGTCCTTGTGATTTCTCATGACGGAGCCAGAGAACCGAAAGTTCGAAGATTAAAAAAACAACAAAAACAAATAATAATAATAATAATAAAAGTGACTATGATGATGATGATGATAATAATAAAGAAGATTTTTCTTTTTCTTTTTTGTTTTATTTCTTTTTTTCTCTTTTAAAAGAAGAATTTTGTTTAGGGTGAAACAACAAATAAAATAAAATTAAAGGGAAGTAGAGACCACAAGGCACTGAAACCATATAAAAATGCATCCACGTGATCGTTGCTGTGTGTTCACAAATCTTGAGATGTCCATCGTGCATCTTTTCAGTTTCTCGTCCATCGCGGGTTATCGGAGCTGCTTTTTCTTTTCTTTTTTTCTTCTTTTTTCTTTTTTTTTTTTGCTGCTAAATTAAATATTTCTTTTGTCCTTTTCCTCCATTTATCGGTCATGACTTGAGGTGGACTCTTGTTTTTGTTTTTTTTTTCTTTTTTCCTTCTTTCCTTTTTGTTTTTCCCTGCACAACTCCCTTGACGTCAACTGCACGAGGCAAACATGTCTTCCGTTTAGACGCAGTGCCAAATCGAGTGGTACTTCCCCTCCTCTCCCCACCCCACCCCACCCCCTTTCAAAAGGAAATAAAAAATAAAAATAAAAATAAATTACGCAATAAGGCAGTCAACGGCTTACGTCAACCACCCCACGGTCAAGCCAAGTTCCTGTACACAAATACATATATATATATATATTTATATGTGTGCGGCGATTCCCCCCTCCATTCCCCATTCCCCCCTTTGAGCAGTAAATGACACGACTCCAAGAAATTCAAAGGCCCTCCTTGAGTCCTTTTCAGTTCTTGTGTGCGCATTTCTTTCAAACTCACTGGTCCATTGGCAATGCCACCTAATACCACTGTATGGACATTCAAAAGATTGACGCATGCGCTGAAAAAAACTGTCCGAGCCTTTCCCAGAGAACCTGCATGTCTTCCAATCCTCTTTTCCTTCTTATTCATCCTTTCCCGTTTCCCCCCCATTTTCTGGTGATTCGGTTGATGGCGGCTTACTTTCCATTCCCTCCACTAAAAGCACCGCCTTGTAAGTGTCGGCAAGAATCATTTCAAAGTATTTGAGCTGATTCACCATGCGCGATTTGTCTTCTCCCATTTTTACGGACCCACGTCCCAGGAGCCTCCTCCACCCCGTCGTTTTTCCCGTCACCTTCGCTTTTTGTCGCCGTGTCATGGAAGCCAAAGTGCCTTTATGGGGCTCGTTCGAAAAACAACCACACAACCGGTTCTGTACCATCAAAAAACGTTGAGCACACGTCTCCGGCATGGCCGTATGATACACAAAGCAAGTCCGTACAAAACTCGAGCGATCTCGCACAGCAGAAAGTAAAATTGATCGCATGGCTTCTTTTTCAGCACTATTTACTTGCTTTTCCTGTTCTTGTGATCGTAGCAGGAAATCGTACAAGTTCACCTCGTTCCAAACAAAAAAACCAACAAAAGACGAAAACACAACATCGTGCGGTTCAACCGTTTTAGCGACGGCTGTTAACATTATGAACGTACTTTGCATGTCCTCCTTGCTGACACACCGTACTAACAACACCGATAGAGTTTGTTCAATCTGTTTGATAATTGCATCCATTTCGTGCGCATGCTGCACATCATGCCACCTCACACCATCCTGAATCATTGGCCCAAGCAATCTATTACATTTAAACGAAAGCTTCGATGCCATAAGAGTCTCCTGATCGGCCAAAAGATCATACACAAAGCGTCCATTACGGACGAACACAAAAGAAAATGTGATGTAAGTTTCATTTGGCTTTCGTTTCAGTGCCAAGCGAACAAAATCCAAAAGCATCGTCAGTGCCAAATGGTGTTTACCAATCGTGGCATCTGCCGTAAGAAGTGTGACATTCTGTCCCTTTTGAAACCTGCTGGTAAGATCCATCAATAGTCCTGATACTCCAGGTAAGTCTTCCAACGAGGTGACAGCGTTGCTCGTCCTATCCAGAGATGTAAAGACACATTCTTCTTTCTGGAGAGAAATACACTTTTTCTCTATATGCAGCTTTCCACTGGAATTCGCATTATCGTGAAGTACAACCGCCGAGGGTTGAATCCGCAGTTTCTTTCCTTTTTTCTCAACTTGGCCGTCGAACACCTCGCATGCCCGTTCCAGGATTTCATCGAGACGTCTGGAAACAGATTTCTGAAAGGTTGTTTCATTCGGCACACCTCTTGGCAAGAACTCACACCAGTTATGTATCACTTCATTTCGCTTGTTGTCGAATTCCGGGGAAACTATACTGGAAATGGCGGGCAATAAAAAGAAACGGGGACTTTCTTGAGATAGCCCCAACTCATAGAAGCGGAAATGGTTGGCCTCCTCATTATCCCTCCGCATTTGCGTGTTTTTTACCGCACCTAATTTACCCTGCACATATAATTGTTGTTGTTCCTTGCTTGGCTCGCCTAAGATCGAGTAGTAATTGT